GTGTGTGTGGTGGGGGGGGGGGTCTTGACGACAAGAAATACAGACCCTACCAAACCCTTCTTTGGGAAACGGCGACGAAGCATAAAGATGAAACCATACGCGTAGCTATGATACTTGAATAGTCCTGCGCAAAGTAAAGTTAGTTGCCAGTCTTTGTAAGGTCCTACAAGTCCTTTTACATTAAAAAAATGTCTTTCGCGCTATCCCAATTTGGGGTACTAGGGAAATTTTGTTCTGTGTAGCTGATCAGTACTATGATGTAAAAAAATGGTATGGCCCAGTGTTCTGCCGGACACCGGACGGGAAATTGGCGGTTTCATCACCGTTTTGTTGCGGTGTATGTTTTGCCAGGCTCCAACCGGAAATTCTGCTGCAGTACCAAGGTCATCCACCATGTCCATATTCGACCTTGACCTTTGTCTTCAAGACCAACATACCAAATATCATCATAATCCATAAAGGCGTTCTGAAGTTATGCTGACCACAAAGTTGCGGAAACACACACAGACAGGCAGACACACACACACACACACACACACACACACACACACACACACACACACACACACACACACACACACACACACACACACACACACGCCAAAAACAATACCTCCATTTTTCATGGAGTTAATAAATGGTCTAACGTTAACAACATATCATAAAACGCAAACTGCGACAGGGACAGCTCCCAAACTTCAGCCAACCTTGGTCGGCTAGTTGGGAAGGTTTTATAATTTTATAATGCTCATGATTCTCCTTTATTATAGTACATTTTAAAGGTTGGTTTTTCGTAATTATGTTAATGGTACCGTTCAGATCGTTTGAAAATGGAAATTTCAAATTCCGGGCAAAATAAAGGGGGCATTAACTTTAAATCTTGTCAGACGACGGTAATTTCGAAACGAAAAAAAAAAGCTCCCATATTTTATACGCCCCCAGGCGATTCACGACATAATTACAGCCCCCCAAATAACGATAAATCAAACCAGAAGTCAAGAGACCGTTTACCAGTCTTATCATCGCGGCACACGAATTTCTTTCCTCAGAGTAATGAAAAATAATAACTACATATCGCTGCGAGCCAAATTTTAATGGAGATCATATATTGTGTCAATAGGCAAAGTCAATTATTGCACGCTTAGAGAACCAGAATGATGGAAATATAATCTATCACTATCACCTGGAAAACAGCATAATTTAGGTCGGATACGCTGCCCTAAACACCGAAAGGCCACAGCAAATAATTTTTATGGATGACATCAGCGCGCGCAATAATTTTCGCCTGATTTGGAGAAAAAAACAAGAAATTTTCCGTAAATAATTTCATCAGGTTGGTAAACGAATGAATAGCAAAGTTCTTTAGTCACAACCATTTATTTTTCACGAGCCGACGTTTCGATGACCGTCTGTCATCTTCATCAGGGCAATTCAGACTGGTTCACTGTGCACTGACGCTAGATGTTACTTGGTGCATAGTGCATAAAGGTGTTACATAGTCACACAGTAAAAACAAGCTTAAGTGCACTGCGAACTATGTAACGCCTTTAGTGCACTATGCACCATGTAACATCTAGTGTCAGTGCACAGTAAACCAGTCAGAATTGCCCTGATGAAGATGACAGACGGTCATCGAAACGTCGGCTCGTGAAAAATAAATGGTTGCGATGAAATAACTTTTTTATTCAACAAGAATGCCGTCTGACAGTGGTCACCATGCCGAAAATGGGCAAAGATGTCTGTTACCATGCCGGAAGGTGGATGGCAGATAACTATGAAGAGAGGAGACAAGAAAAGACTCTGATTTAACGTTTTATTTCTTACTTCGATGCAGTGATATGTGATGCTGGCTGTGTATATGTGATGTTCCCACTGAATCAAAACCATTTGTACAATGATTGAGTCAAGATTTTAAAATGTAGAAACCTTGTTTTTTCGGCCCGCCTTGTTTTTTTCGCCCGCTCGCATTAGATTTGGAGTCTGCGGAAGATGTCGTCCATAAAATTTACTTGCTGTGGCCTAACAGGGCAATAGCCGCCATCCATATGCTTATTGAATTGTGCAAAGTGGAATACATAGCCAGAGGGTGGTCTATTACAAAAGGAATTCGTCTGTTACATTGAATAAATAGTGAAGCATCAATTTTCAAAATTTCCTTTCTCCGTAAATTTGTTGGTGCGTGTCATGGCGGCAATAATGAAAACGTAAAACGTTTGCGTGAAGCAATATAGATTTTATTGTCAAGGTAAAACTGATGGTTTATTACTGGTGATATTTTATGGCAATGGCAGTGGTTCATGGTTTATAGTTATGTTTAACGTTGTACTGGATGATGATTTAATTTACTTTTGTAGACGACGCTATGGCCACAACGACTTCATTTCATGGATGACATCCTCTGAAGACCCCCAACCTAGTGCGCGCGGGCGAATAAAAGAAATTCCGGCCAAAAACGAAAATGCTACTAAACCACAGGAATACAAAGCTGGTATTGTGAATTTGCGGTAGCACATAGCGACGTATACGACAAGCTGGCACATGCTGGCTTTTTGCGGAATTTATGAATCGGCACTGTACGTATGTACTGAGTTCTTGAGTCGTGGAGCTTCGGTAGCCTGGGTACTCGGCTCCGTATTGTCGCTAACTACCATGGACTACCCAGACCTAGAGCCACGCCTAAGCTTCGATGGACGTGATCTTTTTTTAAGACAGGCAAAAATCAATGCGCGCGTGGATGTCGTCCATAAAATTAAATCGGTGTGGCCTAACGTCTGATTAAATCATGATTTGGCGTTAGTATTTTCTGTTAGCGACACTCTTTATTCTCATATCCAGTATCTCAATAATCTATGATCCAGTAGGGACGTCCCAATGGGACTCACATACATTTCTAAGAGAAATGGACACAGTATATGGTTCACAGAACCTACACAGATCTTCAAGTATGTTGTTAAATGCCATCTACTCTTACAGCCACATGTATGTCTACGTTTTGACTCGAAGGTAGGTAGAAAATCCGTCAAAAATTTGACATACTTATTTGCGGTATTGTATTGTGGCGGCACCATACCACTTCTTCTATGTCCTAAAACATGAAGTATAATGGCACTATAATAACAATAACAGATCTAAAACTACAACCAATCTGAAACTGCAACCACTATAAAACTACAACCAGTCTTAGACTACAACCAAGGCCACAGCAAGTAAATTTTATGGATGACATCCTCCGCAAACTCCAATTAATCTAATGCGAGCGGGCGAGAAAAAACAAGGCGGGCCGAAAAAAACAAGGTTCCTACAATTTTGAATTTTGACTTGGTTTTCATTCAGTACTACAGTAGGAACATCACATATACACAGCCAACATCACATATCACTGCATCAAAGTAAGAAACAAAACATTAAATCAGAGCCTTTTCTTGTCTCCTCTCTTCAAAGTTATCTGTCATCCACCTTCCGGCATGGCAACAGACATCTTTGCCCATTTTAGGCATGTTGACCACTGTCAGAAGGCAAAAAGAATTTTTTTCCATAAACAGGCGAAAAATAATGCGCACGCTGATGTCATCCATAAAAATTACTTGCTGTGGCCCAATCTAAAACGGAGAGCTAAGCTAGTCAATGACGCAATCGTGATGGCTGCTTTAGTTGATGCTTGACCTCATGACGTTCACGTGATCAGTGAGGGTCTCGGCATGGCGTTTGAAGGCTTGCAGGAGGACCAGGCTGCACGGCGCATCGCTGAACGCCTGTGGGAGACCCATGTTCTTCATCTGAAATACAACATGGCGGAACTTTGTCAGGGATGCCAGAGTATACAGTGCAATTTTACGGAATACGGTACAATGGTATTAGTATACAGTGCAATTTTACTAGTATACAGTGCAATTTTACTAGTATGTGCAATTTTACTAGTAAAATTGCACTGTATACTAATACGATTGCACTATATTACTACTAAAATCAAAGAACCCACATATTATAGAAGAAGTGGGTAAATTCGTCTTCCATTGCCTAAAAAGAAGAAGTCAAACCCAGTAAAACTAGTACCATGTATGTTGTAGAATATAGTATAATGTTAGACGTAGATATAGTCTCACATACCATACTATTTTCTTTCCTTGTATGTTGTTTGTAACTGCAATTAGCCCGCGGGCAAGTATTTGCAATGAACTTTCATATATACTGACCATTGCTCGCAAGGTGTCCATCTGTGCTGCAATGCTAGCTGTAGTGTAGATCTCTTCGGATTCCCCTTCGTCTTCCGACTCGTCAAGTACGGACCCGAGAACACAGCTCCATACTTTCAGTGAGACGTCGGTCTCAGCGATTTCGGCACCAATCTACAAAAAGAGTTGCGAGATCTCATACCTCCATGAAATATGGGCTTGCTTTGTCATACTTCATTTCAACATGTCCTCATTATTATGCAAATAACCTCTACATTAACATAATATATGAATAGTGTTGCTAACCTTTAAGTAACTTACATATGTCACGAGGTATATCATTCACCAATAAGGAGTCACAGAATTTTCACATTAATTATGCAAATTAGATCATAATTTGCATAATTAATGTAATAGCATGTTCAGGACAAAAGATACAAAAACCGGAAGTTCTGCTGCAGTACCGAGGTCATTCACCAGGAGGCCCATATTTGACCTTGACCTTTGTCTTCCTTAGACTTATCAGCATACCAAATATCATCACAATCCATAAAGGCGTTACGAAGTTATATGTGCGGAAACACACACACACACACACACACACAGAGGCCAAAAACAATACCTCCATTTTTCATGGAGGTAAAAAGAGTGGTTTAAAAGGTGTCACGAATTGTTGACTCGGTAGTGGACCTTGCGTTGTGGACTAAATATAGAAACTTAATTTGCAAAACCATGACCGAAAGCTAATTGTTTTTACAATCAAGTATAATACTCATTGTATTACAATAATAGAAGGCAGGCAACAACTGTCTGGAAATCGCCAAATAAAAGCAAAAAAAAAAAAGAAGTTTGGACTCCAGTCTACAGTCTTTAAAGCTGCATTATGTATAATATGGACGAAACAAAAAGTAAATTTTGGCAATTTTTGGTCTTTTCTTTACAAAGTAAGTTGAATCAACTATTTTAAATAAGTGCCATTCAGGAAGTGGAGGTGCCTTACGACTGTGTTTAAAAGTTGGAAACGCAGCTGTCAGCCATGTTTGTTTACATTCTGGTAGTTTGTGGTGGCACCACTAACTGTGTGCGCCTCGTGGGTTGGTTTAGCGCCAAATATAAACGTCAGAATTGTGGTATAATCACAAAAATATGTTGAAAAGTGGACGTAAATCACAATCTCAAAAAGATTTTGTTTTAAACCTTTCCAATTTTGTTGAAAAAAAGTTAAATAATGCCCCTTTAAAGCAACCTAATGTGGATTCTATAACGGTGCCTTGAATCGAATCGAAGCTCGTATGTTAAAGGCACCCAATGCAATTTCAGGGCAGCAAATCTGGAAATATTCTCAATAATCAATAAGGCAATCTTTGTGACATTGACACATACTGCTTCACATTGGCACATTTGATTCAGTATTTCATACTTCAGGCTTTTAAAACTGCAGAAACAAGCCCCAAGATGGCTCTTTTATTTTCTGGGTGGTACCCTAAAAATCAGCCAAGGGCCCTTCCAGTAACCATTTCCGTCAGAATTTTTGCTCCATGAGGGTCAATATACATTGGGATTGTGTGGTTTCAACTCAGTATGTAGATAAATGGCTGGAATATTGGCTTTGAAAATCATCGGGTTTCCAAGTCCTAAAAACTGCACTGGATGACTATTGGGAAAACCTGTTACATGCACATGTACCTGTTCATCGGTTTGGTTACCGTTGAAGAATCCGCGGTGACGACGGCAAAGTGGGTTACCGATGCCCCGCAAGAAGCCCTCCCGGCACTCTTCTTCTGCACACTGTAACAGACAGGTAATTATCATGAGTAGGACCCTCTCACCTTGTCTCACCGGTGGCTGTAGGCTGGGTTCTCGGCACTATAAGCTTCTGCCCCCCGATTGTTTAACTACGCCCGCACGGTGAATTTTTGTCCTGCTTGAACCAATTAACAGTCGTTCTGAAGGGTTTGAGGCAACAGTTCTGTAGCCGCTGTCACACAATTAGAACATTCCCCCGACCACCAACCAACCAAAGTTGGCTGAAGTTTCTATGCGAATTTAATCGAATTTAAGGCAAATTTGACCGCCCCAACCACTGCTGACCTAGTCCCGAAAACACCAGCAAACTACCATGCAGCCGTACCTCCCGTCCAAACCGACTGTTTTAGAAACATTCGGCCGGCGCAGCCGGACTCTAGCCGATTCTTCGCCAACCCCCAGCCAACCACAGCCGAACTTGCTCCAGACCTACTCCCAACCATGGTTCGGGGGAGGCGGCAGTGTTCGGGTGGCCATTTTCGGCTGCATGTGACCCGGGCTATGCTAGTGCTCACTCGATTACACGTGTAGCTTCTTAAGTTTCAGTCTCTCATTGTCCTCGCGTTCTTTTGTGTTTATTTCTGTCAACCGGTAGTATAGCAACAGGAGGGGTAGTATTTCTCAATCCTTCCATGGTTGTTAGGCCACACCGACTTAATTTTATGGATGACATCCGCGCGCGCATTGATTTTCGCCTGTTCTCAAAAAAAAAAAAAAAAAAAGAATCACGTCCACCGAGGCTTGGGTAGTCCATGGTAGCTAGCGACAATACGGAGCCGGGCACCCAGGCTACCGAAGCTCTATGTCTCAAGAAATCACTACATACGTACAGTGCCGATTCATAAATTCCGCAAAAAGCTAGCATGTGCCGGCTTGTCGTATACGTCTCTAAGTACTGCCAAATTCATAATACTATCTTTGTATTCCTTTCGTTTAGTAGCATTTTTATTTTTGGCCGGAATTTTTTCTTTATTCGCCCGCGCGCACTAGTTTGGGGGTCTTTAGAGGATGTCATCCATGAAATTAAGTCGGCGTGGCCTTATCACATAACAAGGTATGAATTGCTACCCATATCATATGTTAGTTCCTCCGATTCATTGAAGGAGGGCAGTTCGTAGAAGGGAGGAAGTCGCGATCGGAAAGAAAAAGATAATTTTTTTTCTGAAATGGGAGTGGTTGCTTATGTTTTGGCAATTTTTTTAAAACAGTGCACCTATCGAATTTTTTTCTTCCATATATAGAAAGCAAAATGTGTGACAAATAAATCACGAAGACAAACTAATAGTTTATACAATATACATATCTTGTATGATCATCATGATGATGACATTGTATGCTGTACAATCGTGTATGATGATATTAAATCTTTCCATGGTTTTGACTTACTTCTGTCCGCAAATTTGTTATATTCTCGGATGTCTAGAACGAGTATAAACTTAAAGGCATCCAATGCAATGTCAGGGTGGCAAAACTGAAAATATTCTAGATGAGGAAATCTGTCTGATATTGACATTTACTACCATTTCTGAGCACATTTTTATCATAATTTCATACTTGAAGCGTTTGAAATAGCCACAAAAACAAGCTATGTGGAGAGTCTCTTTATTTTAGGGGTACCACCCATAAATAGCTACAACCAGTATACGATACAAAACAAGCAACTGTTTTCCGTCAGCGATTTTTTTTTTTATTTATTCCAACATGTAATCACCAGAAGTGGTGACGACACACTCAAGTTTCTTCAACTTATATTAATGTCGCCACCAACACAGGGGACAAATACATGACAGGACAATACTCATTTACACCTGAGCTGAGTGAGGAAAGCCGTGTAAAGTGCCTTTCCCAAGGGCACAAGATCGGTGGCATGTCAGGACTCGGACCCGGGACTCTTAGTTCCGAGTCGCGCACTCTGCCGCTACGCCACACGACCCCACGAACAGATATCAGTACTCTATATGGGATAGAGTTGATGCAACGTACTACATTGAATGAATGAGAAGGAACTTAATTATTATAATGAATGTTAAAAATCCAGTTCAGCCGTTCTGAAATTGCATGGAATGCCTTTAATATACGTATACTCACATAGTCCTCCGTAGCACGGTCTAATGTGCCGCCAACAGCCTCCGTCAGAGCAAGAGAGGCCGCCTGGAGATGCGGCAAACGCCTGGTGAGCCTAGAGGACTCAGCTCCCATTGCGAGAACAACGACACACACCAGAAACATTCTGAGGAAGGCCATAGTCTGGAAAAAAAGTTGGTTTAAAATCATCTATATTGTGTACAAATGAATAATACAAGTTAAAAGTCTAGCACAACCCTTTTTCTCATGATACAGTATTAAAGGCATACAATACAATTTTAAGGGTTTGGAAACCCAATTTTTCAAAGTCGACATTCTAGGCATTTATCTACATACTGAGTTGAAACCACACTATCCCAATGTATATTGACCCTCATGGAGCAAAAATACCCCAAATTTTGACGGAAAATGGTTACTGCAAGAGCCCTTGGCTGATTTTTAGGGTACCACCTATAAAATAAAGGACTCATCTTGGAGCTTGCTTCTGCAGTTTTAAATACCCAAAGTATGAAATACTGATTGAAATGTGCTAATTTGAAGCAGTATGTGTCAATATCATAAAGATTGCATTATTCAGAATATTTCCAGTTTTGCTGCTCTGAAATCACATTGGAAGAGGAGGGCGCAAGGCAGAAAAATTAATACAATATACATGTACTAGTCACTGTGCAATTGACATTTACTGCTATTTATCAGCACATTTTTTCATCATTTCATTCACGAATCATTTTAAATAGCCTCAAAACAAGCTACATTAAGCGTCTCCTTATTTCTTGGTACCACCAGTAAATAGCTAGCTATAGTGCCATTTTTCCGTCAGCGACATCGTATTTTTTTGCACCACAGAAATCAGTATATGCCATGGGATAGGATCGATTCAACTTACTTTCGAGTTAACATTAAAAATGAGCAGATAGAAAATTTACTTTGAAAATCCTGCCACTGCTTAGGGTAAGTAAGCATTATATGAATGAATAGTACTTACTGATTGGTGGTTGATGAACAACTGGACTGATAGAGACTTTTCTGATAGAGATGATCCGCCGAAGATGTCAAAGACACTGTCCTTGCTCTGCTAGCCCTGCCCTTTATATACAAATTATGTGAAAGGAAATATTATATCAGAAACCAAGTGAGTAATGAGTATTTTTACCATTCTAAAGAAATAACTGGAAAATTACTCAAAAAAGGTAAAATGGGGCGTTTTGATAACGTCATATTAGATCATGTAGTAAAACAATATTTATGTTTTCCTTGTTTCACACACCTTGGGTGACGTCACTGTTGGGACTTCCAGTAGGAGCTTGTGACGTCATCATTTTGAATTTTTTTCAAAGTCTGTTTTTTTCCATATATGTTTTCTAATGACTACAAAAATTTACTAACTACAAAATGCAAGAAATATATACTGTACCATCAGATATCGTTTACCATTGAATAGAAAACAATAATTTTTCGTAAAACAGTCATTTCTTTCAAAGAACATCATTCACACTGGAATATACTGTGACATAGACTAACCGGCTTCCTAGCCATTCACATTGAGGAAAGTGTCGTGTCATATGACTGACTAGGTCACAAAGAAGTATCAGACTTCAAAGAGTCGGTCAGTATATACAATATAATGTTTTTGTTCCTGGAAAAAACTCTAACTTCCCGTCGGCAAGTCTTGCACGTGTGTGCCACGCCCGTCTTTGTTATTGCTGTTATTGTCATTTTGTTGTTATCGTGTCATATGACGGACTAGGTCACAAACAAGTATCAGACTTCAAAGAGTCGGTCAGCATATACAATATTATGTTTTTGTTCCTGGAAAAAAGCTCTAACTTCCCGTCGGTCAGTCTTGCACGTGTGGGCCACGCCCGTCTTTGTTGTTGTTGTTATTGTTGTATTGTTGTTATCGTGCCATATGACTGACTAGGTCACAAACAAGTATCACACTTCAAAGAGTCGGTCAGCATATCCAATTTAATGTTTTTGTTCCTGGAAAAAACTCTAACTTCCCGTTGGTCATCCTTGCACGTGTGTGCCACGCCCGTCTTTGTTGTTATTGTTGTTATTGTTGTTTGTTATCCTCACCAGAGGCATGATCCTGTTAAGTGGTCGTGTCGTGTGGTATTGGGGACGTGTGGCGTAGCGGTTGCGTGTTCGGCCTTGAAGGTTGAGAGGTTCCGGGTTCGAATCCTACCCATGCCACCGATCTTGTGCCCTTAGGAAAGGCACTTCACACGGCTTTTCTCACTCCACTCAGGTGAAAAATGAGTAGCTAGCTTCGGTTAGGGACGTCCCTCGGATAGGACGTTATGGAGGTCCCGTGTTTGGGGAGAGCCACACCCCACGCACGTTAAAGAACCCACCACACCTTTCGAAAAAAGAGTAGGGGCATGCCCCGGTGTGCGATGGTCCAAGTACTTATCTGATTATTCATTACGGACTCCAGGAAGAGTAGTGTGAAATTCCTAAACGTACAAACAAACAAACGAACAAACAAGTAGCTACTAGTACATCACTAGTATTTAGGTATGATGATGTAAATTACCGTGTGATTTGTAGTGAATAAGCAACTTCCAAATTGTAGTACATGTATCTGGACCATCGCACACCGGGGCATGCCCCTACTTTTTTTTCGAAAGGCGTGGTGGGTTTTTAATTAAAGTGTGTGGGGTGTGGCTATCCCCAAACACGGGACCTCAATTTAATTTAACGTCCTATCCGAGGGATGTCCCTAACCAAAATCGAGGTACGTAGTCATTTTTTTAAATGAGTACGTACCTAAAAGTACTTAAAAGTGCATTTTCCAAGGGCACAACATCGGGGCATGTTGGTGGATTTGAACCCAGGACCTATGGGTTCTGGGCCAAACATTCAGCTATATTACGCCACGCGACCCCACAGCCGTTGTAATATTCTACTGAAAATGGAGGAATGAATGGACTTTGTTGCTCGACTGTTTTATAGGGTACAATGTATGGCAATAATGACAAAGCCATCAATACAATACTAGTTAATTACTAGTCTATTAAAAAAACTATGATTACAGAAATATGGACGTAAACGGCGTATTGACTGATGTGAGTTTCTGGCTGTTACAACGTATACATTCTCACTGTAAAGCACTACGTATATATCGGCTTAAGTACGTAGATACGGAGTGGAGGTATGACATAAGTAGATTGAAAATGTCTCTGTCCTTGGGAAAGAGTTACTAGTTTTTTTTATTTTATTTCCAACATGTAATCACAAGTTTTTTAAACTTATATTAATGCCGCCATTAACACAGGGGACAATACAATACTCATTTTTAACCTGAGCGAAGTGAGGAAAGTCGTGTAAAGTGCCTTTCCCGAGGGCACAAGATCGGTGGCATGTCAGGACTCGAACCCGGGACCTCTAGGTGCCGAGTCGAACACTCTGCCGCTACGCCACACGACCCCAGTTACTAGATTTACTTGCGATCGTACTCATTAATTTTCTTCTATCTGCAGTATAGGCAGGACAGGCCAGTCGTTTGAAATTAGGAGAAAAGATGAATTATGATATCGCTGATTGTGTGACATGGAAATTTCCGATCACGACGTCAGTGTGGCTTCCGGCCACACCCTTAAGATGACGTCGACGTCATTTTGAGTGATCACGGGGTTTCCCCAATCTTGCGTGGTCACACACTGGACGCGTGAGTGGACAATGATACTGGACACGTGAGTGGACAATGGCCACACCCTTTTATCCAGAATAAACGTTTTTGAAAGCCAGCCAGCAGTCGCTTTTCTCTTAAAGGGGCAATATGTAACATTTTGCATCAAAACTTTAAATATTTTATTTTAAGACATATATTCGTGAAATTTACTCTAACTTTTCAACATATTTGTCCAATAATCTCACATTTCTGTTTGGCGCTAAAACAGTCCACACGAGGTGCACTCAGTTTGTGGTGTCACCCCAAAACTACCAGAATGTAAACAAACATGGCTGACAGTTGTGTTTTAAACCTTAAAACACACTCGTAAGACAAGAAGATGTTATCTCTTTATTTGGCTTTTTACTCTTTCCAGCCGCCTCCCTAAGCCTGGTAGAGGCTGGTATGTTTAGCTTTATTTTATGAAAATAAATGACAAGGTATATGTATCGTAGTTTGCGTTAGCCCATCCGGATTTTCGCTCGAGCGTTGCGGAGCGTAAATCCGGCCGAATGGTACCCAGGCTATGTTTGCCTTAACATGTTAAACATTTAACAGTGTGGGCCATTGTATTTTTTGAACCACGCAAACTTCCTATTGCCTCGCTCCTTATATGGTACCCGGACCGATTTTTTCAGCCGGAACAGAATGTTCAGAGACACCGGAACACCGGAGCTGGGACCGTGCTAGCCCGTATGCGTCAAGTCCTGCTGCCGGGGGCAGCAACCGCCGGGCCGGCCTGTGCTCAGGATTGTCCCCCAGGCACAACTTGTGTCGTACCGGAAGTGTGCACGGCTAGGATAGCCCGGCCGCAGGCACAATTCCAGAACTGGAAGCAAAAGCCAAGGAATACTTTATCAAAAGTTTACAGAAACTCAAAGCCAAAGCCTTTGAAACTTTGAAACTTTATTAGAATAACCATTAGGGTCCACCGCTAGTCTTCCTGGTATTCATACATACAGACGATACATTATACAAACATAGTTGACAACTGGACAAGTCACAAAACACTTCTAAATCAATCAATAACTTATTTACAATATACTTTATGACAACTTGTCATAATAAAGTATAAGCATAAAGTATCACGATCATACTTTATGACAACTTGTCATAAAGTATAGGCATGCTTTGGCTTATTATTGACAGGTTTAGAAGCAGTTTCACAATAATTTTCTGCCAGAAAGTTTCCACAGCGTTTGTGTGTGTGTGTGTGTGTGTATGTGTTTGTGTGTGTGCGTGCGTGTGTATGTGTGTATGTATGTATGTGTGTGTGTGTGTGTGCGTGCGTGTGTGTGTATGTGTGTGTGTGTGTGCGTGTGTGCGTGTGTGCGTGTGTGTGTGTGTGTGCGTGTGTGCGTGTGTGCGTGTGTGCGTGTGTGTGCGTGTGTGCGTGTGTGCGTGTGTGTGTGTGTGTGTGTGTGTGTGTGTGTGTGTGTGTGTGTGTGTGTGTGTGTGTGTGTGTGTGTGTGTGTGTGTGTGT